TAGCAATATATTGCCAAAGGTAATTTATTATTGTATCGATATCGACCTATAAAATATTTAAATAATTCTATATATAGGTACTAGCGACTCACCTTCGCTCGGGTTCGTCCCCAAGTATATTTTAATTTTTTTTGAGCGGAATCCTAATTCTTTTACTGAAATAAAAGTAGCCTAAGTTACTACTTATAACATCAACTATCTGCTAGTGAAAGTCCTGTCAAAATCGGCCCAGCCGTTTCGGAGATTAGCCGGAACAAACAAGCAAACAAATAATACTTTCTTAGATTTACGCGAATGTTTGACATTATTAAATAAAAGCAAACAAAAATGTGAAAAATTGTGTTTTTCTTATAAATACCGTATATAATTCCATATGCATTTAGTAAAAAGCTGTTATTTTGAAATTACAAACAGATACTTTTTATCTGTATAGATGTATGTACAGTAGATCCACTTTAATTTTAGTTTGATAACTAGTGACTCATCTATGTACATGATTGCTTAAATTGACATAACTTTTTCATTTATGAACCGATTGAAATAAAACAAATACTAATGCAGGGATTTTTTGGTATGGTGATAGCTGGTTATCCGGGTCAACATATAGGATACTTTTTAAAAACTGCAATAGCTCCAATGTAAGAATATACTAATCTGTAAAACCTAAAAATTTGGTCTTTGGTCCTCTGAAGCAACGGGCAATGCTAGTATAAGATATATGTTGAAATATTGATGTATTTACACCGTTCAGCGTGTGGAAATATTAGATGCATTAGTATGCATAAAGTAAATGAGGTAAGCCAGAGGCAAAAGATAGTTAATAAACTCCACTCACCGTAAAACTTGAATAGTTTTCGCGAAAGTTTAGATTGCCTCAGGCTGTGAAGCCTTCTGACTTGTGATCATTTGTCAAATTAAATACACTGAGTTATTATTACTGTAATAAGAGAGTAATGTAAATTATAATAAGTGGATAGCTATTAGGTAAGCTCATGACGTTTTCCTTCACCGTAAAACAAGTGGTGATTATGTTAGAAATGATTTGCACTTGTAATATCAGAGGTACAAGACTCGGGATTTGAACCCGCTACATTTAGTTTCAAAAGCAAGCGCATTACCACTGAACTATCACTGCCTAACGCTTTACGATGAAGGAAAATGTCGTGTGGAAACCTGCATGTCTGAGAGAACCTAACAACGTTTCGAAAAATGATCAAAAGTCCGCCAACCTGCACTTGGCCAGCGTGGTGGACTATGGCCTGATCCCCTTCGTATTGAAGGGAGGCCATTGGGATTGCCCAGCAGTGGAACGTTAAAAAGGGCTGAATACTAATAGGTAAGCTAAACAGAAATATTAGTAAAAGCAATTAGCAGACCAAAGATTTATGAGAGAAAATATAACAATGTGTTAACATACTGCGTTTAAGAACGTATTATAAATCTTTCGAGAGGATATCAGAATACGATCTAAATGTAATTGAACTAAAATGTACAGCTTGCAGTTAGAAAAGTCTAGAATTTTAGGATTTTAAAATATTAATAGCCATTTCGTTTTCAATAAAACCATGAGATACGTCTTTATCAAAAAACTTAATAAACAATAATCTATCCAGCGAAAGTTTAAAATATAGTAGGGAAGAAGGGAAAAGAAGATAAGGAAGATGTCGTAATAACTAATCTTCTATTTTTTTAATGTAATATAAAAAAAACTCGGTAAAAGCCATTCTTATATTCTGTGCAAATTGCCAATTACCATATTCAAGAAACTTGAAGTTAAACCTTTATAGAGCTTGAAGGAAAATATGTAAATATTCTTTAAAGCTGGTATCAAATAACTAGTCCAAGTTTAATGAGAGCTTCCAAGTCTTCCTCTGTACGAGAAGATCGCGGGTTCGGAGCTGTTTCGTGACAAAGAATATTTTCTGGAGTCACGATATAAAAAATCGTGGAGATAAGGAATAAGAAGGTTTATTTTATTTTATCTATACTGATAATATTATAAAGAGGTAAAGTTTGTGAGTTTTGAGTTTGTGAGTTTGTGACGCTGTCAGGGGTAATCTCTAGATCTACTGAACCGATTTAGATGAAATTTGGTAAGAAGATAGTTTGAGACCCTGGAAAGGACATAGAATACTTTTTATCCCGTAAATCGTCCATAAAGGGGGTGAAAATGGGAATGAAAGTTTGTATGGGGAATCAAATCGCTAGTTTCATTTATAACTTTAAAAGTGTTGTCAGATTCAGGGTAAGATTCGTTATCATATCTATGGGCACTTTAAGTCAAAGTCGTCTTTGCAAAGTGAACTTTAGATTCCAATGATTACTTTCATTTATTGAAATTTCAATTCAAATAAAGTTGACATTTCCATATGACATATTTTTAAGCTCTATAATCTGAATAAATTTAAATGACAGGAAAAGTCCTGTCATAATTTAATGTTGATGGATGCTAGTATAAAACTTATTCGGATAGTCGATTTAAAGAGTACTTTGATTGTAAAGTAATCAATAACGACTGACCCGTATAACCAGCTATCATCATACCAAATTTCATCAAAATCTGTCCAGTGGTTTTCTCGTGATGCGGTAACAGACAGACAGATAGACAGACAGACAAATATTCCAAAAACTATAGATTCGGACTCTGTATCGATAATAATGTCTATTTCAATAAGATTTTCCAAAAAAAATTTAATGTACAGATTCGGATTAGTTACAATTTTATTATAATTGTATAGAAGAGTCAGTGACATAATGATCAAAGCCTTCTCTGATCCGATCGTTTTTAACTTTTATGGTGTGGACTTTGTTCAATATTAACTTTTATGCCAAAAAATAACAGCAAATTTTTCGGGACTTCGAACCTCATAAACTTTCTTTTTATTCAAGCTTACCTAAGCATCTAATGAACTAGAAGGCAGTATTTACTCAAAAAATGTTTTGGGGTGACTCAGCCTATAATATTTTAAAATATGAATATCTAATAGGTAAATATATAAATTTTACATATCGAAATATATTAGATTTGCTTTACATTCGCTGGCACCGATTTCGAAAATATCTGATTATGTATCTGTTCTAAATGAAAATCCGCGTTTAGTTATTTTTTACATTTTAGTGCCTGGATGTCGGTTTTTATTTTTTTGTTAAAAAGTTTTTATTAGTATAGTTTTCTTATTTTAAATTACTATTTCCAGAATAAAGCGTCTTAATCCTTAGCTAATTATATTAGGACACTTGCTTCTAAATAAAACTACCTATTAAAAAGAATTGATATGAATTTTCCACTTGGGCAGATTAGTTTCGTGCTGTATAAGACATTTTAAATCACGTGCTCTTAAAATGTACGGGCGTAGTATGAAAGGCAGTGGTAGCTCAGTGATAACGCGCTCGATTGGGACACCGAGTGAAGCGGGTACAAATCCCGGGTCTCGCACCTCTGATATTTTCATGTGCGAATCATTTCTAACATGATTACCACTTGCCTTACGGTGAAGGAAAACATCGTGAGGAAACCTTTTTTTTTTAACGTTGGGAAATGCATTTACGCACGACGTGTGGGACTCACCGGCGTAATACAGCCAGTACTACCCACTAAAACCCAAGAAAACCTTCCCCCGTCTTAATGGGGCGTCGCAGGATCGCTTACGCATTCAACTACGACGCCCCGACGGCAGGTCTGCCAAAGCAGACCTCCACAACCATGGGGTTGCTCCAAGGTCCACTCTGCTATCAGAGAAGTACCAGGAGCAACCCGCAAGGTACACCGCCCCCCGAAAAGGGCCACCTCCCACCGCCCACCGAAGTGGGCAACCTCCCTGTGTGTTTCTTAGCTTCGCGCCCGGTTGGATTGCCGGGCACTACTGAGACCCCCCCCCCCACCACGACAAGGTGAACGCACGTTAGGGGGGATCGTGAGGAAACCTGCATGTCTGAGTGAACATAGCAAGTTTTCGAAAGACATATGAAGTCCGCCAACCCGCACTTGGCCAGCGTGGTGGACTATGGCCTGATCCCCCTCGCACTAAAGGGAGGCCCGTGCCCAGCAGTGGGACGATAAAAAGGGCTGAATACAATTTTAGTATGATAAGTTGAAGAACAGCTGCTTCATCTTCTTCATTTTAAACTTAGGTTAACATCTAGAGTGAGTATCATATAGTATGGAAATCACGCAATCTTAAACATTCTTCTATCTACGAAAGAAATCTAAAAATCGACTTTTGTACAGTCTAAATCACTGTAGTATGTATTTTTCTGGTACTGCCAGATTGATATGTTCTAAGGAATACCAACGGTTGAATCTTTATATTAGTATTATACAAGTGTAGAAGGATTGGAAAGCTATGTGTAGCAATGTTTTAACATATTGTAAAACAATGAAACACTTTTCCTGTTATAAATTGACCGTAATTAATAAAATTGATAGATGCAACAGAAAATCGTACGTCCCGCCCAAACGTCAATCTATACATATAATAAAATTGTAACTAAGCCGAATCTGTACATTAAATATTTTTTGGAAAATCTTATTACAATAGTAGACATTATTATCGATACACAGGCCGAATCTATAGTTTTTAGAATTTTTGTCTGTCTGTCTGTCTTTCTGTCTGTCTGTTACCGCATGACGGAAAAACCAGTGGAGGGATTTTGATGAAATTTGGTACGATGATAGCTGGTTATCCTGGTCAACATATAGAATACTTTTTACCGCGGGAAAATATCTCATTTCTGAGAAAAAATACAAAAACTGCAATGTAAAAGTATACTAATGTTATATTATAAGACCTAAAAATTTGGTTTTAGGTCATCTCAACGCGGGTGGAACCGCGGGCAATGCTAGTTACTTATATTCGTCATCATACTTTTCCTGCCTGCCTGACACCTGCGTAGACGAACACCACAGAGGTTGTACGAAGGCGCTTGATATCTTTGAATAAACTAGCGGGCATAACAATATACAAAGACGGGTGATTTAATTATATTAATTTTGTTATTAGGTGTCAGCGTGGGTGACTGAGCTGGTGTTAACTCCTTCATCTCTTGAAGATCGAAAGGTGACGCTCTCCTGCATCCTCCGAGTTGCTCTTACTTGCTGGAATATTGGCAATTTCAACGGCGCTATGGAAATTGTAGCGGGTTTAAAGTAAGTTAATAAATAAATAAATATGTTGGGACAACTAACACACAGCACCATATAGTTCCATGGTAAGCTACGAGGCTTGTGTTATGGATACCAGATAGTTGATACACTACACATATATAACTTTAAATACATACATATAATAAATACAAATACACTGACTGGAGTACACACATTCGTAGTCATCACACTATGAATGCCCCCAGCGGAACTAGAACTCACGACCGCTGGCACAGTAAGTAGGGTCACTATAAACTGAGCTAAATGTGTTGCCGATAGATAGATAGAGCTATAAATTAATTTTAATCTTTTTACGTCAATCTGTTCACGAACATAGTGTATGTCCATAAATATCATTTTACAGGATGCTAAAATCTTTCCACATTCTTAAAATTAAATATTTTAATGCACATAGCTTTTTAAATTTATACGGACATCTTACATTTGCATACATTTAAATATTATGCGCGACAACGCCAATTGTCAACGGATTCATATTTTTTTAATTGTAAAGTAAAAAACTTAAAAAAAAATAAAAATTGACTTCCAGGCACTAAATTGTAAAAAATAACTAAACGAGGTTTTCATTTAGAATAGCTATCTAATCAGATATTTTCCAAGTCGGTGCCAGACGATGCAAAACAAATCTAATATATTTCGATACGTAAAATACATATTTACATATTAGATATTCATATCTTAAAATATTGTAGGCTGTGTCTGTAAGCAGAAAGTTTTTTAATAACATATTCGATTAAACAATTAATTAAAAAAAATTATTGTTGATTTTTTGAAAAACCGCTCGACCGATTTCGATAAAATTTATATGAAGTAATTCAAATTCAAACAAAAAAAAATTCCAAATCGGTTCAGGCGTCTTCGAGTAATCGGTGAACATACATAAAAAAAATTCCGACGAATTGAGAACCTCCTCCTTTTTGGAAGTCGGTTAAAAATAATAAAAAAATATTAAAACTGTAAAATAAATTCTAAACTAATAATAAATTTTCATAAACAAATCAAAACAACTTATTTTAAAATGCAATCTTGACACTCGATCACGTTATTCGGTAACAGAGAATACCATTTGGTGATCAAAAGATCGAGAAGACCATTCGGGAATCCAATATTTTAATATCTATTTCACGGACCTAAAGTAACTAATTTTTCTGATTAAACCCATTTAGACAGCATTAAATAAATTTATACATACATTAAATATTTTTTGGAAAATCTAAATGAAATAAACATAATCGATACAAAGGCCAAATTAATCGTTTTTAGAATTTTGATCTGTCTGTCTCTCTGTCTGGGAACGCATCACGAGAAAACCACAAGACAGATTTTGATGATATTTGGTATGATGATAGCTGGTTATCCGGGTCAACATATAGGATGATTTTTACTTCGGGAAGATATCTTATCTCTGAGAAATCTATACTAAACGTTAAAACGTAAGTAGGGACGAACTTGAGTGGAGTGAGGGTGAGTCGCTAGTACTGGATATATTTATTTGCAAAGATTTTACTTACAACTTTACACTATTTACCGTCCACACTGTTTATTGTATTTTTTTGTTTACTCACAATTTATGAGATCAAGTATCCTCAGTTTTATATGCAAACGTAAGTACAGTGAGCTTTAAGCTAGTTTTATGGGTTTAATCTACTGTTTAATATTGCCAATGTATGGTCAAGTGCGAGTAGAACTCGTTTGCTAGAGTTCTGTGTTTATTGGAATTTTAGAAGATTTAAAAGACTTTCTTAGATTTACGCGAATATTTGACATTTTAAAAACTAGTATTAATAATAAGCCAAACTGTACTAAGAATAGTAAACAAGTATAGCGGCCAGTGTTTGTCAACGCTTGTACGCCGGACGCCGGAACAGAATCTCTCGTAACGCTTTTTCGTTATGTTACGATTTCTACCTATCAACTCCTTTTTTTAATGTTACGAAATGTATTAACGCATACCACCTGTATTATATGTATACAGGTAGTAATGACTCGCTGGTTAGAAAAGCCAGTACTACCCAATAAAACCCAAGACTTCCTCCGTCTTAATGGGGCGCAGGATCGCTTATGTACTCAACCACGATGCCCCGACAGCTGGTCTCCTGAAGCAGAACACCCAACCATAGGGTTGCTCCCTCGGTCCACTCTGCTGTCAGAGAAGTACCGGGATCAATCCACTTGGTACAAAGCCCACCGGAGTGGACCACCTCCCAGTGTGTTTTCTCCTCCGAACAACGAAAAGGTGAACACACACCGACCTGTCAACTTTTGGAACTTCGTTCCAAATAAAATTGAAACCAGTTTTTTATCATATAGATAGGTAAATTCTACTCATATATATTTTCCTCAAATTTTCAATGATGATTATGGTCGAATTTCGAGCACTGTGTGAACATTAGTATAAGAAAACACCCTGAATATACGTAGCCGTTCTCCAGTAGGTAATACATAAATGAACAAACGGAATACATTAATATTTTTTATTAAACTGTAAACATTCTATACTTCTATTACAGTTCAAACATCCAACAACTTTCCAAGATATTAATATTCCATGTTCTTTACTTTTCCTTTATAATTTTACTATGTACATATCTATACATACGAGTATAATAAAATTGTAACTAAGCCGAATCTGTACATTAGATATTTTTTGGCAAGTCTTATTGAAATAAACATCATTATCGATACAGAGGCCGAATCTATAGTTTTTAGAATTTTTGTCTGTCTGTCTGTTACCGCATCACAGAAGAACCATCATGGAGGAGTTTTTATGAAATTTGGTATGGTGATAGCTGGTTATCCAGGTCAAAATATAGGATTTTTACCGCGGGAAAATATCTCATTTCTGAGGAAAAATACATAAACTACAATGTAAGAGTATACTTATATGTAAACCCTAAAAATTTGGTTTTTGGTCATCTGAACGCAAGCGGAGCCGCGGGCAATGCTAGTATACTATATAATATGTTAAGTTTTTTTTTATCAATCAAGAATTAAACTTATTCGGATAGAAGAAAAGAAGCATCCAGAAGAAAGAAGAACTATGTGCTACCATCAGGGGTTTCTTTCGGCCTTCAGCTGTTAAGACTGTAGGCCGGCGGAAACTACTTGCTGGTGGTGCTAAATAACAACAAAAGAAGAATTAAGAAGAACGTAGCCAAGAAGATTTAATATTTAAATATAAAGGAAATGAAAAGAAGTTATTTTTTATGTTAGAAATATCCCATTTATATTGTAAACATGAAAGTTTGTTAATTTATACGTAAACTCTTTAATATTAACCAGGTCTACTAGCACACCACCTGCATACATACAGGTTATTTAGGACTCTCCGGCTATCCATTAAAACACTTAACCCCCCCCCTTAGCCCCCCACCAGAACAACGTAAACACACATCGAGGGGGTGCCAAGAATAACCTTAGACAATTTTTTACCGATTTAAATACTAGCCTAATGTCTAACTAATCTATACTAATATTATAAAGAGGTAAAGTTTGTGAGTTTGTGACGTTGTAGGGGGTAATCTCTGGATCTACTGAACCGATTTAGATGAAATTTGGTAAGAAGATTGTTTGAGACCCTGGGAAGGACATAGCATGGTTTTAATCCCGGAAATCATCCCTTATGGGGGTGAAAATGGTGAAGAAAGTTTGTATGAGTCGCTAGTACTAAATAAACATAGTATGTACGAGTATGTGTATGTTTCGAAATACAATTAAAAAGTTTCGTTGGATCATTTCCCTATTGTTATATCTATACAGATAAATAAAATTGAAGTGTATGTTTGTAATGTCAAAATAACAGCTATTTACTTAATGCATATGGAATTATATACGGTATTTATAAGAAAAACACATTTTTTTTAATTTTTGTCTGTCTGTCTGTTCCGGATAATCTTCGAAACGGCTAGGCCGATTTTGACGGTACCTTCACTGGCAGGTAGTTGATGTTATAAGGAGTAACTTAGGCTACTTTTATTTCAGTAAAATAATTAAGATTCCGCTCAAAAAAATTAAAATGTACCGAAGGACGGACCCGAGCGAAGCAAGGGTGAGTCGCTAGTTTGAGTTAAAGTATGAATAAGAAATGGTCTATTACTAGTTGGACTCGTACGTATATAGAAGGATTCTGTTAATATTTGAAATTTAAATTTATTATCGGATTTCTATCAGAAATGTGATATGTTTGTATGTATGTTTATTACTCCTTCACATTGGAACGGTTGGATGAAATTTTGTACATTTATATCATGACCTGAATTAACACCAAGGGTTTTCACGCAGGCTCGAAACCGGTGGTGTAAACGATGGTATTCTCGAAATTGAGCAGGAATACGGATATCTAGGCAATAGCTATAAAAAACCTGGCTAGCGTGCACCTACCCTACCCCAGCCTGCAAATTTATGATATTTGCAATGAAAAAAATACTAATCGATAGATTTTCAATAGCTCAATTTAACTACGTAGCCCTTTCAAATTGCTCACCTTTAATTATTTAATTAAAAATCAATAAAGTCTTTGAAAAAAAATTAATTTATCTGTATATTCAAACTCCTATATCTTTTGATGTATACAATATTTCAAATTGCTCAAAGTTCTAAAACACTGCTCAAGTTGCATTTGTAATTGCTCAAGTAGAGTTTTTACCAGCTCCACTTTCGCTGATTATTAAATAATTAAAAGTATAGTTGTAATAAATGTAACGTAGGTTAAGTGAGCGTGCGCATGCGCACCGCGCATTGTCGGTCGGCCTCGGCGGGCTTGGACAATCGTTCCAATTCAACGTCTTAATTCTGTTTCTCGGTGGATTTCTTTAAATTTATTGAATTTATGAATTGTTCACATTACGTGATTCCACTTCAGATATTATAACATAAAGAACAGATCTGGAATCTACCAATAAATGAAAATTAATACCAACAGATAAATTAAGACAAAATCTTATGTTCAAATGCTTATTCTATTAAGGTAATAGCCATGACAG